TTGGTTTATGTTTTTGGTTTTTTTTTTAAGTAAAGGACCCAGGACTATGCTTCATACTTAAAGGGTTTTTTTAATTATTATTTGTGGGTGTACTTTTTATTTTCAGTGGAGTAAAGCTTAATTTACAGTAAAACTGGATTTGGGACCTACCACAATCCTCAGGGTCACTTTTTCAGGACGTTACTCATCGAGCTTTAGGTTTTTCCGAGTCAACTGGACCGCGAGGACCTCGCCGAGCGCCGGGTCGGGAGGACGCAGCCTGTGGCCTCGTGACTGGACACGTCGCCCCTCCGGCACGGCTGGACACACCGGGGAGCTGCTCCAACGTCCCATGGCACAGCTGGACACACCAGGGAGCCGCTCTGGCAGGGCTGGATGCACCAGGGAGCCTTTCCAACACCACTCTGGCACGGCTGGACACACCGAGGAGCTGCCCTGACATCCCTCTGGCACGGCTGGACAGGCCCAGGAGCTGCTCCAACAAGGTTGGACGGGTCCAGGAGCTGCTCCAACAAGGTTGGACGGGTCCAGGAGCTGCTCGACCAGGGCTGGACAGGTCCAGGATCTGCTCCAACACCTCTGGCACACCTGGACATGCCAGGAGCCGCCCTGGCTCGGCTGGACATGCCAGGAGCCTCACAGAGCCACGCGCCCTGGGCCGAGCGGCCGTCACCGTGCTCATCGTGACAAACACAGAAATAAAAAGCGATTTAAAGGAAGAAACACTATTGCTGCCGAATGCCATAAACACTGAGTTGTACAAAATTGTGATCGAGGAAATGAAACGTAAAAAAACCACACAAAAAAAACCCAAAAAAAAACTTTATACTTTTTAAAAAACAAGCAAACAAAAATAATTTCAAATGGAATAAATTATTCATGAAGCCTTGATTGTGGTGTGGGTTTATTGAGGGGGCGGCACCCCTCAGCCTTCCTCCCCTTCAGCCTTCCCGCCCTCAGCCCTCCTGTCCCTCATCCCGGCCCTCAGCCTTTACCTCCCTCAGCCTTTACCTTCCTCAGCCTTTACCTTCCTCAGCTTTTACCTCCCTCAGCCTTTACCTTCCTCAGCCTTTAC